TTATGGAAACTTAACGAATAGCGATGGGCTCCACCCTAGGGAGACTACAATGGAAAGAGCTTATGGAAACTTAACAAACCGCGACGGCCTTCAGCCTAGTAGCGATGGCCTCCACCCTGGGGAGACTGAATTGGACAGAGCTTATGGAAACTTAACTAATAGCCATGGCCTCCAATTGGACAGAGCTTATGGAAACTTAACCAATAGAGATGGCCTCCGCCCTAGTAGCGTTGGCCTCCACCCTAGGGAGAATGAATTGGAAAGAGCTTATGGAAATTTCTCCCCCCAGACCTTCTGCTGATACCCCTTGAAGCATCTTGGAGCCACGATCTGTGGAGTCGACTCAGAGAATTGATCGACATTGAGTCAGGATACCCTTTTTGTTTCTGCACGAGCCGACAGAATTTTGTTTCTGCAGGCAAGAGCCGAAGGAGGCGAAGAGACAGCAGTGGCAGCCGAAAGAAGGATAAGGCTGGAATCGGCTGAATCAAACAACTGGGCAGTGAGGAACCAAACCTCCCGCAGATCCTGCATGGTAGATTGACATCCATAGAGGAATCTGACCATCCATCGCTCAAATCCGACCATTCTTGGAACGTTCAGACTATGGATCTTTATGACTAAGCCGCTTTCGCCGACATGCTGAAGCGCACGGGGAGTTCTTCATGACTCCGGCCGATCTGACCGAGTCTTCACCGGACGTTGGCTGGCTCCCGATGTGGTTCGCATGTCTGCAGATGTCTCAACGGCTTGGTCTATGTTTCAGGTTGGTCTTGCGGAATACCCCGGTACAGCACTAAAAAAGACTTGTGCCTGTGTGCTGCATATGCTGGGTAGACATGGCGAACACCGAGCGCAAAGTGTTCAGATGCATCTGCGGCCAGGAGAAGGAAAAGGAGAAGGCCGACCCAGTCTGACCCAATCTGACGACTTTCGCCAAACATCAAAAGGCACACACACTCACATTTAAGGCAAGATTGATGTGGGAACTTGCCCGTGAGTTAGTAGAGAAATGATATGGCTTGAGTGTCCTCGAAGCTTGCGTTCAACTTCCTTTCATTGTTTGAAGACTAGACTGGGTCTAGATATGTCTAGATACTCCACAGCCTTTCCAGAGAATGAAGACTGCTGAATGGATCTACGATGGATTGATTTGGATTGATGTCGGGTTCCCCTGCAGCATCGTTCGGAACAATAGGACTCCACTGTGCTAGTGGTAGGACTCCAGTGAATCCAGAATGGTTCAATTCTCCGCGGTGCAGGACTGGTCGGTGTGAACAGACTCGCCCGGCAACGCGAGCAACTACCTGTGCTTTCAGAGTAGATGGCACTGGCACCCTAAGATGTCTTTCACATGGGGTTATATATTCCATATATAACCACCTTTTGGGGATGGCATAGATCTACTCTGAAACCACTGTAATAATGTTGTATATAGAAACGTGATGTTGATGATATAAGGTGTTCAACACCGACTGGAAGAAATATGTTATATTTTGTTCCTCCCCCGGCCCTCTGCTTTTTTCCTTTTCTTGTTTTAAACAAGACACCTTGTTTCATGGCCGGCACCGTGCTTTTCCGCCCACGCTGCGTGGAGCTGTTGCGTTCTCTTCTGGGATGTTGGATTCGGACCCACCTTTGGGCTTTGGAGGATGCTTGGTGCTTGGGAGGCACCACAAGCTGTCCAAACATATATCTTTGAGGTCATGCAAACTCCTGAACAGGACTGTAGATCTCATTAGGTCGAGACGTTGGAGACGGTTGCGCCAGGGACCCTTTCAATGTACCAGGCACTTTGGGAGTTCACGGCCACCGTCCTAGTCCCATCATTCCGCACCGATCGATAGAGAGAAGGACTCCGCCATGTAGTTACCATGGCGTCCGGGTGGCTCCTGAGATTCACCAAACACCCTCATGCCACAGGAGAAGGAAAAGGAGAGGGCTGGATCCGTAGATTTGGGGCACTACACCTGGGAAGAGACCCACATGGAACCTGAACATGAACTTTTGGAAGACGATTTTCCTCTGCCAAAAGACTCCGCTATTCCCTTTTGGGGTGCAGCAAGCAACTTGTAGCCAGAAGATGCATTCTGGTGACGGAGTGAAGTCCTTCACTAGGGTCCTTTCCCTGGAAAAGAATCAGAATCCTTTTTCTACTGGACTGGCCTGTCAACTAAGCAGTTCAGCAGTTGTTCTTTGTCTTTTTAGGACACCAGTTAACACCGCAAAAGATCGCTTGGTGCAACAGATTGCTTTACATCATAGCAGTGGACCACTTTCTCGCTTTAAACTCGTTTTGCGGTTCTTTTGGGGTCGCTTGGACTGGACAGATGAGCTTGCCTGTCGCGTGTAATTACATGTGTGTACTGCCGGTTGTTTGATTGTTTTTGGCCTTTCAGGAGAAAGAAAAAGATAAGAAGAAAAAGAAGAAGCCGGGGCACTCGGGTGCAGTTTCGTCCTTTATTGGCCTGAGATCTCCTCCAAACACGCCCTGATTTCCCCAAATTCCAGTGAGATCTCAAACCTGATGCAGGGATACTATGTATAAGTTAGACTTAGACTATAGAGGAATTTGCCAAGCTACCCACAGTTGCCTGGTTGACTCGCGGAGCGTGGCGGGCCCCGCCTTCGGGAGGGGATGGCCGCAGCATGCCACGGCGCCCCCAGCCCCAAACAGAAGTGGTGTCGACCTGCAAAAGGCGATGCGTTCAGCAACTAGGAGCGACCCGAGTGTGACCCGACCCAAGGTTGTTTTTCGTCCAATTTGGGATCCAATTTTTCACGGTCCGACCAGGTCTGACGCCCTCGCGAGCCAGGTCCAAATCCAGTAGCGACAGTGTGGCCGCCCAGACATTGGCCGACGGGTCCCAAACTAAGCCCCGGCCCCAATGGCGAAAAGCCCGGCGGCAGGAGCTGGCTTTGCAAAGGAGTGCAAAGCTGTGTATTGAAATCGGACGATACTTCAAAGGAAAAGCAGACATGGACTACAAGAAACCCTAATTATTGGTGTGCCGTAGGCTCTCCCATGCTATGCCTCCAATCAACGTTCTCCTTAGGTAGGGCCTACATCGGGGCCTGTTTTGAAACACAGGGGCAACTTCTACACAGTAGTTTTCTTTCACTCGTCGGCCAACTCTTTGCAGCACCGCACACCAGCTGCCACACAGCACATGTTTATTTTTGCACGATAAAATCTATTTTGTTTGCCAGGAGTGCTTAGTGTTTATTATGTAGACTGTTTGGGAAGATCTTGATTCTTGATGTCAACATCTTCATCCTCCTCTTTCTTATATTACTATTATAACAAAACCGGCGTGGTGGTCACTCAGATGGCATGTTTGCCCAACGAAAGCAGCGTAAGCGGCTGGTGCGACGTATGGACTCACAGATCGTTGGCCATGACCGGTGAGACAGGTATCCACTCAGCTGAAAACTGGCCGGTTGGAGAAGGTCGTCGGTGAGGTCCCCGTGGCTGCCAACTCATTAGTGTTATGGATTCAAGCGTGCCCCATGCGACAGGTAGCAGTTCAGAAGACGTCCGGGGCCCTGGGAAGATGATTTGGCCTGATTTCCCGGAGCATCTATGGAAAACCCACAGCCCTTGGATGTTCTTTCAGCTCCATAGATGTTTGCAGCCCTGTTTGAGTACAAAGCCCTGTTTGTCGTAGAGGTTCTCTGCCATTTTGTCGGATCAGAATGGCACCACGACCCTCCAAGAAGCATAGCCTTTGAGGCCTTTTGAGACACTGTGAGCACATTCTGGTACACTTCCTGAATCCAACATGGAATTGGATGGCACCACCTGTTTGGTGTTCGGAAGATGGTTACTCAAGGGGCCATTCCATCCACGTCCATGAACATTCGGAGTATCACAGTGGCTGGCGGTGGCTTTCGTGTCTCTCCTGCAGTTCTGCACATCAAACCTCCAGACATGTCCACTCAAACTCGGTTCCGTGACCGGACCCCAGTTAGTGGGACCAACCGTGTCAAAATCTTTCCTCAGAGCCTCTGCGTTCGCACGTCCAGATGTTCCGTTGTGGCCGTCCTCACATCCTCCTGTCGCACCTGGTTGGACCCGTGGCCATCACGGCGGTGACGGGGGGGCGAGGAGACCCCGGTGGTGTTCGATGCAGGTGGTCTTCTCTCCTTCAGCTCGTCAGTCCCGGACCTCGGAGTCAACGACCCAGATCCTTCCGCCACATCCGGTAGAAGTCTTTGCAGGTTGTCCTTGCAGTCACAGAGAACCTGAATAGGTGTCCAAACACCCAGAGCTCTTCCATTCCAATTCGTGATGAAATTTATCGTGTCAGCAACAGACCACAAGAATGCAGTTGGTTGTAATATGTGCACCTCCAATTAATCACCTATGGCATGGTATGAATCCTGTTGGCATGCCAATTATGAGGTGTCAGGGATGCCCCCCGCAACCGAACCGGTTTGTGTGATAGACGAGCCAAGCCATTTTGTACCTATAGAATGGTGTCACGTTGGATTAAGACTCTAGTAGGCAGGAATGGCAAAGGTATGTGACCCTTCTTCTGCAGGGTGTACCTTTACTTAGCGAATGAGTTCCTCTAGGTGTAGTGGTGAGGGTAGTTGGCCCCTTAAAAACTAGGTTTTCCAAAACTATATTCAATGGGTGTCATGTGCCAGGACAAGAAGAAGAAAAAGAAGGACGATAGCGACGATGCCACTTAGCTTACTAAACTTTTGGACTTTTGGCTCAGGAGTTGTCTTACATGATTCTTACTGCGAGCCATTACTTAGAACATGATGGAACCGGGAGTCTCCGAGTCTACACTAGTAGGCACTAATAGGCCGCGGCCGTGGGTGTTTCCGTGCAACTGCATGCTGCAGCTGATAAACACTTCATTCTCAGGTGTTGCCGGTGTTGCCTTCCCACTAGCACGTCCTTGGCCAACGTTTTTCTAACCCTTGCTCAGCGCCTCCAGAGCACAATATGCATCAGGCCAATGATAGTGTGGCTTTTATTCTGGCCGTGATTTCACAGAATTCGATAGCAACATCCTCCGATTCGTCGCATCTTGGATGACCTGATCCAACGAAGTTTGCACTGTACGTACTCTGAATCCACCATAACATTTTGAAGGGTGGGTTCAGACAGGAAGACAATGGAAGACAGATTTATGGTTTTCATGCAGCTGACAAATGTCCTACCCAATGGTTCTGTCATGTCCTTGGGAGATGAGAGTCACTGGGAACGTAGAACTACCATGTACTCTGTGAAATTTTCGTTGGACACGATTGAAATACTTGCCCATATCTGGCATATGTCATCTAGGGTCAAAACTCTTGGCACCAACTTCATAATTAGGTCTCCATGCACCCCACCCGCCTTGTAGAGTTCCTGCACGTAGTTCGCTTCCTGAAAAGCTCCAATGCCTGGAACCTGCAAACGAGATGTTCTTTCACCAAAAAAGCTGTGAAGACGAGTGGAGACGACCAGGTTGAAGAACGGTTTTGGCTGTTTTCACTAATCACAGCCCCAAACATTGGGAACGTAGGGTACGTAGAAGCCAGTAGGGTTTGGCCAAGTTCAGGTGCAGCAAACGCTGTGTTTTTTTTCCTCAGGTGCCTTTACACAGCTAACGGACACATGTCCTACCGAGTGCCGTTTTGGTCCTATCTTCCTTCTAGGATAAAGACGATTCGGACGACGAGAAGGAAGACAAGGCTGGAAAGAGCCCCTGATTTGGAGGTTTGGCGAGGGACACATGAGCCCCACTTGATATCTACTTCTCTACTGCAGTAGACGATTTCCCACTGATAGGTACTTTTGTTGGTCTCCTACTGCCACTCTGGGGCCCATCATCTACATTCCTGGTTGAGGGCAGTACTCTTTGCAGACAACAAGCGGGATAATTGGTCCAAAAGAGACTCAGATAGGTTGAGCCAGAGCAAGCTCTGCAACGGTGATTACATCATATTTGCGTTTGCTGGTTGGGAACTCAGAAATGGTTGGGAACAGATATATCCATTAGAGTATGCATTAGTATACACAGAGCCGCGGACAATCTGTGCGAAAAAGATCTATATGTTTGGGATTGTCAGACTCAGCAGATCAATCTGCGTCTGAGAACCTGTACCTACTGAATTTATGATCATAATTGCCCAAAAACCGAGGGAGTCAGATGTTGTCATCACGAGCCCCTGCAACTTCAAAAGCCGGTCTTTTGGCGAAAAACAGCTGCGGTCGACGGTGCGGTCTGGGGTGGACCCCAAGGCGTTTGCGGCTCAAAACCCAACACCCCATGTGCCCAGTGCAGACTGTTAGCTTCGTGCTCCGTTCGTAGCGAGGCCCTTTGCTAGTAGCGATGCCCTTTGTTACTAATTTCTTGTTACTTGCAGCTATGCATGCTTAGTCTATGCATGTGTCTATGTCCGGCTCTCCCCGGTCTCATGCGCCTGATGTTTTACTGTCTTCCTCCGTGCGTGGAGGAGGACTCGAAGTCCGATGACGTGGAGGAAGTGAAGCCTGAGGACCATGCCATGTGCGAGCTGCGGTTTGGACGGGTGAAACGGTTTGTGGGCGATGAGGATGGCGAGTTGTTTTGGTCCTTTCTGGGCGGAAATTTATGGTCATCCCCCCACTTAGGGTATTTAGGGTTATATATATAACTATGTATCTGTGTATGAGCAAGCAGTTTTAGACTAAAGGATCCGGGTCTCGAGTCTCGAGTCCCACACAGCGGACCAGCACACAGCGGCGCGACTCCGACGCGAACGGCTGGTGAGGCAGGAAAGGCAGACGCGGACAACGACCGCTGCTCGGGACTCGTCCTCCATAATACTTCGGTTGTTTTGTGTAGGACGCCACCAAGAAGCAGGAGGAAGAGGCCCGCAAGAAGGCAGCCAAGGTGCGCTGAGCTACATAAAACTCGTGTGTCGTTGAAGGCCTTTGATGCATATCCTCATAACGATAAATAAAAGGCTCAAAGGGGTTATCCTGCCTGAGTGGGCTGTTGGAAAAGCGAATCCCAGAGTGCCCATGTCTGGGGGTGGTGGAGTATATATATATATTTATAGTCAAGTCCTAGTGACTAATATCTCCAATGAGCATGACTTCAACGCTGTAGGCTGGACATGACGACCTGCCCAGAGACAGTTTTTCCTGTGTAGAGATCTTGGGGACCCGAACTTGTTTATACAAACACGTGCTGGTACAATGTTACAAGGCGTACAAGGGACTGTATTTGGGACCCTTGGAAAGTTGCCTACCAGTTCAACAGTTGTACAATAAATCTACCAACCGCTAGGTTCGCAGTACTTGCAATGCTTAGCACTTCCAGTGTCCTAGTCTTGAAGGTTTCATTGCCGAATTGTTTTTCCATCCATGGACACATTTGCATATTACAATATGACATGTTTGACATCAACTGCAAATGGGCATATAACCCATGTCACGAATTTGTTAATGCTTTCAATATATCTACGGACGTGTTGTATATGTACACACATATATATATATTATGTAATACAAATAAATGTATATAATTGTATATTTATATATGTTGTAAACCACATTATATATATACATGGGCTGGCAGAAGATCAATCAGCTTGGCTCCATGCAGTCGCTCACCTGTGTTCCCAGGCTGCCGAGGAGGCCAAAGAGGTACGACGACCTTCGTCGCCTCGAACACCGCGGGGTCTTGGGTGGCCTTGGGGGTGGGTGCTTTTGCTTTAACATATATATTTTAAAGTTGGTGTCCTTCACTCAAAGCAGCTCAACACTTTTTTGGGTTCTTTCTTTGTTGCAGGCTCTTGATATAGCTTTTGGATGTTTAGTTGTATTTAAAACATTGATTTCGGTCTGCCGAGCAGTCGGGGAGCATCCGAACGAAGGATATGCCCTTGCGTCGAAGCAGCGACTGGGGGGTTCCCGTCGTCGCAGCTCAGGCTCTCCCGGGCACCATGCTCTCGTTCGGGAGACTGGGCCTCGTTCGAAATCCATGTTTCGCCATCTGGGCTGACTGGTTGGCTAAATCATGCTAAATCAAGCAGTGCCAGTTTTGTCTTCCTAATGGGCAAGCCGTGAGACAATATCTTTCTGTCGTGCTGCTTTTTGATTCTGAGACCCACTTCCTCACAGAAGTCTACTGTGCGTACAATCACAAGTGCAAGCGATACATGCACAAATTCACAGCAAATCAGCCAATTGCTGCACCAATTGGCCACATCATGCCACCTCCAACTGACTACTTTCCTCCCAGTCGTGCTGCAGGGATACTGTAGGTCAATGGCACCAGGCGTGTGTAGTGTAGCTGCTCCTCCATTATTTTAAAGTTAAAGTGCACCTCGTCATGTCGGTTCTTCCTCTTCTTTCCTAAGTGAAGTAGCTGGAAACTCACCTGCTCTATAGATTCAACATGTTGGTCACCCCGTCTCATCTCTCCACTTCACGTCGATTTGTCCCTTTTCCTGCGCCATGCACCGCCTCCAACCGCTGCGCACGCTGCGCGCTGCTTCACCGCGATGCCAGCGATAGGTAGAGGAGGCGCAGAAGGCTGCGCAGAAGGCCGCGCAGGCGGCCGAGGTCCAAAAAGCCAAGGAGGCTGCGAGGCATCGCCGGCAGTGCTCAGTGCTTTTCTATTGCGCGTTGCAAGGGGACGCTGTGGTGGCATGAGGTGGCCTTATTTGAGCGTTGGTTTGGTGTAGTTGAAGAAGAGCTGCTAGGGCTAGGGAGAAACAAGGTTAGAAAAGGTGCATATACCTGCATGCGATTGAGGTTTTCTTATTGTTACCAGTGAAGATGGGCATGTAATCGGTGGTGGCAGTGGTGGCACTTCCTGCCTTGTATTGTTGGTTTTGGCCCCTCGGACTTCTCCCACGGCTTCGTGTCACCACTGACGTGACCGTTTTCTGAACGGCACAGGCAGGAGAAGCATGAAGCGCTCAAGAAGGCGCTGGCAGGGAGGTGGTTCCCCCGCAGCGGTACTTTCCCTTCAGACAAGCATCTATGCAGATAAAAACCATTTGCAAGAAGACTGCCAGTTGTGACAGTGGACCACCTCTTTACGTGGTGATTGGCGATGGCGTAGTGTTTTTTTTTTTTCTGTGTGTGTGTGTGTTTGAAGATGCTTGAAGTAATGCCCTGAAAACACTGGCGGGTGTTGGAAGAGACCTTTCGGATGGTGGCACATGAACTGTCAATGCCGCAGTCCGTAGACAAGCTTCCTTCAGCTGAACCCACTCCTGTCAGTGGAAAACCTTAAACACCTTTTAATGGAGATTGGTTCCCCCTAAACATGAACAGGTGGAGCAAGGTTAACCTTGATTTTCCAGGGAGACTGAGGGGTCAGGCACCAGGTTGATGACGTTCTCCCCGCTAACCGCGGCCTCCAACTATTCCGCACGCTTCTGCATCAATCGTGGCAATGGTAGAATCTCTTTCGCAGGCGAATCGTTTCCTGCTTTTGCTCATCCAAACGGTTGATCTTGGAAACCCTGCAGAAACTCCAAGTATGTATGAAAGAACAGTGGCAATCTTTTGACTCCGTAGAATTGTTTCGGGGACCTCCCCACTCACTCACTCACTCTCACTCTCACTCTCACTCTCTCTCTCTCTCTCTCTCGCTCTCGCTCTCACTTCCTTTTTCCGAAAACACACACAAAGCCTGAATAGGTATACGGTATATGTGATATAAATCAGGTCGGGGTGGGAATTTTTCAGATAACTCACTTGATATCTTCATGCTCAGAGTCTGGCAGCATGTGACACCAGTGAAACAGTTCACTTTGTGGCTCGGTTTCAGGCGGCTGCGGAGGCCGCCAACGTGGCCAAAAAGGCCCTAGGTGAAGCGCAGGCTGAAGGGCTGAAGGGCGGGCCAGGGATTGTGTTTCGGCAAACAAACGAAGGGGGGTCCAGGATGTCTAGTTGCCATGGTTCTACTGCCTCCTGCTTGCCGTTATCATCACCAGCGTGAGCTCACCGAAACAGGAGGCAGCTGCAGCCGCCAAGGCCAAGAAGCAACAATCGGACGAGGCCGACGAGTGCCGGTTGCTCTTTTTGGACTGACGAGACCAGTCTGATATGGAATGATTGGGATGGCAAAGTGACTCTCTCAACCATCCAGTATACAACATTGTTTGCAGGGCACGACTACTGAAGGTTCGTAGGGGTCAAGAAATATAGAAGGGCACCTCAAAGGAGATCATTGGCAAGAGAGAAACAACAAATTCAACTTTTTCGGTGGGGATGTCGTTTGAGCAGTCCTAGTAGCCCATGGAGACGTTTGCAGGTTTCCCCTCCTTTGACGTGGGTAGATTGCTTGGACAGCCAAACAGATGCGCCGTCGCGTCGCTTCTAGCATTTGAACTGGTACGACCATGGATGACATCCAAAAAATCATTGAAGAAACCCCACCGAACTTTTTTGCTTCAGTGTTGGCAGTAAGCTTGTGCACTCCTTTGACTCTTTCCATCCAATGCCCAAGTGGTTTGTTTGAAAGCCACGATCACAGGCTGAAAAGATTTCGAGTTCCAAAGCCAGCAAGGCAACGGGTGGCAAAGGGAAGAAACATCATGGATGGGTGTTTGCCCTTTGATGAGTGCTCGAGTTGTAAGTGCCCTAAGGGTACACAGTACTTTTTGGAGTATTGGCCCTGCGAGAGGTGCAAACAGCAATTAGACATCCATCCTTCGGGGTGGAGTACATATTAAGATTTTGTTTGATGGGGATTTTGAGGCGTCCGGACTGTGTAGTACATGGCCACGGAACTCTGGACCGTGTGCAGCCTGTGGTGCCGAGGATTGGGAGCAGTCTCGCCAGGTAGCACCAACAGCAAAGTGGGTCTATTTCCTTAGCAAGTAGAGCGCACCAACACCAAGGAAAGACCCAAGGAGCGCACCAATCGCACCAAAGTGGATTGGGAGCTTCCCACTTCAAAGATGCTGCACCCGTTCCGAGCTTGGTGAGGCCAAGGCCTTGGAAGAATCAGCCAAGGCAGCTTGGCAGAAACGGGTGATGCAGAGTGTTGGAAGCAGTGGAAGCATCGAACCAGTTTCTTTTCTACAAGACTAGCAGCTTTCTTCCGACCAAAAGCACAGTGGAATAGAAGAAGGCTTCCAGCTTTGTTTTCTGAAATGCAACGTTTGGAAATACCTCGCCTCCTGTATCATTTCCTCAAACATGCTTCGCCAGAACACTCCATTGCTGTAAAATTCTCTAGCACAGGAACCTGCATAGAAACACGCCGACCTCATGAAATGAAACAGCAAGCGCACCCTGTCCGACGGGTGGTCGCGTGTTTTCTGCTCCGAGCGGGTCGGGAGAGCTGTGCGAAATCGCACGTTGAACCCGAGGCGAAAGAAGAGGAGGCCAAGCGTGCCGCCAAAGAGGCCGGGCGGTGGTGCCCGCGCTCGTGAAGCTGCGCAAAAGGAGGTAAAGGGACAAATGAAGAAACACCATCCTCATTACAGCCAAGTGTTTATAAAACGTAGTACGCCACCTGAATGTATCAAGTAAGGGGGATGAACCACCACATTTTATTGCTTTTGCATACTGCAATGTCTTGTCTATACCTCGTATTGAGCGTTTTGAAGACCGTTTGAGAATGGTCTTCTAGTTTGGATGGTTGACACGACCACTTAACAGAATATGAGGTCCAATCGTGTGGATCCAGGAGGTAGGAGGTGTCTCTCTCTCTTTTGTGCTTTCGGCTTTTGAAACCATGCATCAATGCAATGTGACCAGAGATTCTTTGATTATTTCATGGCTCGGAGCCAAAGCCAAGCACGCCGAATTAAGGTGATGATTTCGTTTGTGGAATGTGCATTAAAGGGGACGTATTTTCTGTTCAGCACATGAGGGATGGATACATTTACCGTCCTTTGTGGTTGATGGTACAAAACCTGCTTGGGTACCCACAAAACCAAACCCCCCTTCCAGAAGAGCAATGATTACAGGAAGAAAAAAGACACAACATTATACTATTGGAAGAGTTGCACAATAGAACAGAACTTGGACAAACACTCCTAAACATTATTGGTATGTGTATCCAATACATTGGACCAATTTAAAACATATGTCATATGTTCATAGAATGCTTCCAGTTAATAGATCTTTTCATCATACCCTGCGCGCTTGCACCATCCGCTACAGGCCTCAGAGGCCAGTGCGGATGCCGCTAAGGCCCGGGATGAGGCGGAGGCGCTTCCGTCGGCGCGGTCGCAGCTTCGTTGCTGGACCTGATCCAGAATCCTGGATGACAAGAAGAGGTTCTTGGTTCTTTTGAAAGGATCCAATTTCGGACCCCAATCAAACCTTTGTACAATTGTGATCATTTTTTGTAGTACTTTTGGTAGCACTTTTGCAGCACGGCTGAGTGGCAGATCGTTGCCCTCGAGTGAGATTTGCGCCTCGACGCCCTCAGAAAAATGCTGATAGGGCGCCGAAGGCGGAGGATTGGTTGAACTCTTTGGCTAAAAATCTACATCATTTCATCTCATTTCTACATCTCCGATCCGATCTCATCTCATCTTCTGATCTCATTTTCTTTTCTCACATCTCATCCAGGTCAAAGACTCCGAGTACCAGGAGGCCGCTTCTGAGCACCGCACCAAATCGGCAGCAGCGGACAAGGCCAGTCGTGCAGCGTTTTCGCGTCTCGTAGACCCCGAAGCTCAAGAATCGAACCGCACCCCAAGTGCCTAATTTAATTCTAATAGCTTCTTGTTACTACTAGTAAGGCACCTGTTACTACTAGCGTGGCACTTGTTACTAGTAGCTTTTCGTTGGTCTTTAAAGGAATGTGGTCTTCCAAAGGGTCTATTGAGTCTACACATTCTGGTTGTATTCAGTGCTCCCTTGCGTAGCTGACTGCAAGGATTTTGCCTCAATACAACTTGCCCCAGAACTAGCTAGGTCTTAGAAAAAAGCATATTGGTAGAAGACTAAGTCAGAGCCTTTTCTCCAGGATAACATTCAGTCATCTTCAGTCTATTCTTTTCATTTTTTACTCATTTGCAGCTCTTCGGTGCCTTTTCCAGGCCAAGAGCGCCTCGGAGGCGGCGCAACAGGCCCAACTGGATCGATGCTACCTGAATTTCGCACGGTTGCGGCTTCTTGGTCGGTGACCAACATGATACAGTATCCTCTTAAAAGCATGATGGATCGAATGGGGTTGGTATCAATGATGGACGAGGCGCAATGATGGTCAATTGGTGAGGGCTGGATGAGATGGCTGGTGAGGGTTGCACGGACATGTAATTAAAGCCGCCGCCGGTATATCAGTATGTTCTAGGTTGTTATTTGGTGGCCCAGGTGGTGTAGTGTAGACTTTGTCCACCAACACTGCTCCGAGCAGTTCATTGTTTTGAGCAGTTTGGTTTCACGGATAATAAGGCCAAAATGGGTGTGAAAGCTTGATTCATCCCCACATGCAAACCGTGGTGAGCCGGAAGCTTTCAAGTCGGTTAATGGTATGACATGAAGAGAAATTCATCAGAATGTTGATTTATTTTCTCTTGTTTTATTGGGTTTCACTTTCGGTGAGCAGTGCAATTGATGTGTTTTTTCTTTTATCGGCTACTGGACCATAAATGCTCGGATGGAATTCAACAGAATGCTTGAGTTCTCCAAAGCCAAGTCAATACCAAAGAAGACGTTCTGTTCATGTTTGTTTCATTTCTCATTTCAGAGAGGAAAACATGGATCCAGGTCATACCAAAACACATGCAACGCGCCCCTGGACGGTTTCCTCCATCCTGGTCGGATCCATTTTGTCGGACATTGCAGGTTCTTTCAGCCTTCGAAGTCGAGCATGGCTTCCAGAAGGCAAAGACGGCTTTTGAGGGCGGAGAAGGAAAGCTTTGTGAGAATCGCAGGTAGAGAACAGCTTTTGCAATGGCATTTCGTGGACAGTTGCGAAGATTTGGAGGAACGGCCTAAGGAGGAAGTCATGAGTCATGATCATGATCTTCCCATCTTTCGAATAGTCAGAGCTTTGCTGTCCTCTAAACTTCTTTCCATCAGGCGGAAGAGAAGAAGAGGCACGGCTGGGCCTCGCTTGGTGTCTAAGAGATTTGCGTCTATTTTGTATGTGACAGGAGTTGTGACGCACTTGTCGAAGGAAATGCGGACACACCCACCAGTGGGTCATGTGTTTTAGGTTTCAAGGATTGCCTTCGGTGCTTCAACGCATTTTGATATATCATATATATATAAATATATAATATACATCATTTGTCTATGTATGTGGCTTCATACAAGACAACATTCGATATATATATATATATAGTGATGCAGCGATGCACTACATACCAAGCCTGATGCATGGGTGCGTACAGAAAAATGCTTTGCTTCGAGCGATCCCCGCCCTAAAGGGCGATTTGGAAGAAGGCAGGGCACATGTATTGACAGACTATCCTGATAAACGCTACCTGACGTGTCAAGTCTGATATGTGTTCTGACACATCATCTATCATAAAGGCTGGACATGTTTTTGTTGGCATGTTGTGACATTTGTCCTGCTGTGAAGTCTGACATGTGCTGTGACACGTCTTCTGGCATGTGCTTCACATGTGCTCTCGCATCAACCAGGCATGTGCTCTGACATGTGTTTTTGCAAATGGTCCGACTTTGCTCTGATATATGTGCTTTCACTTGTGCTCTGCCACCTATTCCGACACTTGTTCTGCCATCAGACCTGCCACTTGTTCGGACATATGTTCTGACGTAGCTTCTGACATAAGATTTGGCATTCTACCTTCAAATCTTCGGCCATTCTAGCTCTTCTAACTGGCATATTCTCTGGACTCTGTCTGGCATATCTTCTGGCATGAAAGCCAGCATTGAAGTTGGAATGACATTTGTTCAGGTGGCCAGTGGGTGCCCAGGCTGTAAGTCAAATCACTGCTGGGACCAAGCTCAGCGCAGTTGCGACACACCAAGCACCCCCAGTACATTCTTGAACTCCGAACTCCGAACCTTCATCTTCCCCACTGCCAAAAAAAGATTGCAATCCTTTCCGAGCACCAGGGAGAGATGCCAACATGACAGAAAGAAGCACAAGGTTTGAGAATGGACCATGTGTGTAGTGGACGACACGCAGCACCCGCTGAAGAGCTTGACCAAGAAAAACTTCGGAGTTGCCCATCTGTTGTTCCAAAGGGTGCAGGAGGTCCATTGATTGTTCTTTTGCACTCACAATCTCGGAGCAGTGCACAATACCAAGTATATCCATCAGTTCTCATCCACCCCAGTGGTCTGCGTGGTCTCCATCATCCAGTATCCGACATCCGCGTTGGCCTATCGAAAGCCCATCGTGTCGGCAGATGTCTACTTTGGAGTCAAAAATTCAACCCAGCGAAAGGGTGGGGTGTGCCCAACGGCCATGGAATGACTGACGCCGCATATTGCAGCAACTTCGTTGGTGTCTGCCTGCAGCTTGACGGGGATATGGCGCAAGAAGCTGAAGAGCCACCGAACAACGCGGTCGGTCTGCCGAGTTCCAAATAGAATCAGAATCCGTTGTCGGATAAACTCTGGTCAAGCTTCGAAACATTCCCCAAAGAATGTCAGAGGCAAAACTGTTTGACACTTCTTCACAGCGCGCTTTTACTTACAGAGTTCCTCAAAATCGACGTTGGCGAATCCTGAGGGCAGTTGTCCTCTGTACAGCCAGGGTGTCTCAAGGCTTCAGAAGCATTTCCCCTTCATGGGTTCCTTGGAAGCTTTTTACTTCGAGCCGTTGCAGACACAAATGGGCTTTGCTTTGCGTGTTTCCGTGCAACAGAGCCGCCTCGTTTTAGGTGTGTTCTCGAAGAAACGTGCTTGCTTCCTGGCCAGTCGCACAAAAATATTCCCATTGCTAGATTAACTTCTTGTGCCACTCTTCAAGTTTGATTGTGAAGGCCAAGGCCAGGGCTCTCAAACTAAAGTGGTTCCAGTAAATCCTGAAGCGGTGTCATACCTCACAGTTCTGTTAACCGGAAACACAGAACCACAACAGATTACAATACACTTAAGTACTTTGCGTGTTTTCCAGTGTGAGGGCTCAAAAAGGTTGCCCATACCAAGCACATGCCACCTGTGGCCACGGCCTCGGGCAGTTGTGCCAGAGTGTGGGTTCTTTCACTCTTGAGGACTTGAAAGGTCTTGTCAGCTCAGCCCAACCCGTTGTGATGTTACGAAGATTCCAGATCCTTGCAATTGAGTTCCTCCTTCTGCCCAAGCAAGCGCTCTTGAGGATTGATTTCGATCACTTTGGAAGCCTAAGGATGCTTGAGGTTTCGTGTTGCAGAGACACCTGTCACAAAGTTCTTGGAACCGGTGTATATGGCTAGCATGAACTGCGAAGCCTTTGCTTGAGAAGGGTGGACTGGGTGTTGCGTGGGTCAAAGTTCGGGTTCGGGGTGTGGGGCAGTGTGGGGGTTGTGACCGGCGTATTGCTATCGAAATTGACTCGCCTAGATGAGCTGTCCCCTGCCCCTGCAGTGGTTTTGCAAAACGCAAGCAACTGATGGGCGTTCACTGAGGAGCGCTTTGTGGGTTCCTGGATAAATTACATTGCGTCCTGGTAATCACAGGAATGAGTTTTATCAAGCTTCATATTTTGCTTTGCGTGACAGCTCGGTGCAGTGGATATGGGAAGTGGGCAAGGCTACTGCTTGTTCTGTATGCGCCCGTGTATCAAGCTTGGAGTCACTACATTGCCAACATAGCTATTTCTACAATATTTGTCTATTTGCTAGGTGCCAACGGATTCAGATGAGTTTGATCAGTGCAAAACCCAGGGAGAAGTCATTCAGTGCCACTGGAACCATGTGGATGTACGGGTGGCAAAACTATATATATATGTATATAGACGCGCAAACGATGTTTTGGCTAGGGCGGCCAGGTTTTCACAAGGTGTTCCCATTATGCCATTTGATTCTTCGATTTTGTTGAACATGCTTTGTGGGTCTTGGCAGGAAAGAGCCGGAGACCAAAGAGCCGGAGAAGAAGGTGCGGTGTGGAGGGACAGATGGTCGGAACCGAGGAGTTCAAACTACGAAGGTTCGGGAAAGGCATCATATATATTTGGAACAGGAATTGAGTTGAAATTCTGGAAAGTGCACAACCTATCAGCTCACCAAGTGATCATCGTCGGTTCCCCGATCACAGCCCCAAATGATGGCGAAAGGCACGGGATTTTTACCGTCAAAACTGGAACTACACACCCCAGAACACGGTGGTACAATGCATATTTTAATATGTAATCTTCGGGTGGTCTATTGGGTGGTCTATGGAGTTCTTTTGACTCTCCACCCGTCAGGCCCCCCAATTGTACAGATTGCAACAAAAGCGGTGGAAGACAAGAGGCGTTTGCATGAATATTACCACCGACGTGCTTCAAGTTGGGGACCCGCGCTGGATTTGTTTTGTGGGTATGGATAGACACGTATTTTTCCCCGGAAAAACAAATCATCAGAGCTCAGGATTTGTGTTCTGCGACGTTTGTTCTTTTGAACTGTCCTGCTTCTCAATCATTTTGTTCCGAACGACAACCCTCACGAAAACGTAACAACATGATGTCGCCAGACTGTTTGATGTATACTGTCCTGCTCTGTTTGTACCTCACATACCCAGCCGGGGAATCCAACAAGGAAATTTTCAGGACCTGGCCTTTTTGGACGTGCAAGAGTTCCAATGTACACTTTCATGTGGTTCCACGATTCTGCACTTTGTAACAACACTGAACACTGGCCACCCAATATCAGCCGATTCGGTAAACCAATATGAACCAATAGCCTCAATAGCCTACCACCATGCCAAGTTCTACCAAACGTAGTCCATGTCATGTTTTTTTCCGTGTTGGCAAGTTGGCAAGGAGAAGAAATCCAAGGATGAGGCACCTCTGTCTCTGTGACAGTGTTGATGGCAGTATCGGGTTTGATTGCTTCACTGTAGCCAATAATGAGCCATCAGAGGGCTGGGAAGAACCCTATGCGAAATAGAAAAGTGGAGCTCTTTGGTGATACGTGCAATTTGTAATCATGTGTCATCCAAAAGGTGGGCTTTTGGCGCGTTGGTTTCCACGCAGCATTCGCCACATATGACATCAGTTGATGTTTTGCAGATTGTGGAGTGAATTTGACCATCGAACATGCCTGGTACAAGAGTTAGTTCTTTGATGTTATGTTCATGTGGGTGCCAGCTTGGTGAAATCACCAACCACCCATTCAAGCCATGATGCCGCGTGACCATTACCGCGAAGTTGGGGCCAATATTGGGTGATTGCTTCAATCCCCGGCTGTCGGAAGAGTTGCAACTCCCTTTCCCAACGCTGGGGCCCGCCAAAAACTCCACCCATTCTGGAAGTACCAGTGATTCATTTCCAAGATACTTCAGGTTGTCTCAATTGACCTGGATGGTCAGCTCTTCAGGAGAAGCCAAAGCGGGCAGTCTTGACTCCTGCCTCGGCGGTGGACAAGGACACAGTTCTTCAAATGGCCGGATGATCGTTTCGTGGTTCTTCGGCCCAAAGGCGGTGTGCTTCGAAGGTGGCCAGGTGAACGAAGCACAAAGAGACTTCATCAGGGTGCTCAGTTGTGACAGTTGGATATCAAGGTATGTTGCTTTGAAGAATCAGGATGGTGTTCCGAGTGCTTTTGGAATTTCATGGAATTTCTATTGGTTTGAAAGTTGGGACATGCCACTGACTACAGAAGTCCACTTGTTTGGCCTGATGGCCTGGACATGTCATTTGTACCTCAGATGTCGGGTGCCGATCTTGTAAAGGTAATTTCAATTTCGACTTGGTTTCGACCCTCGACTTGTTTCCATTAGCTACATCAATCCCTGGGGATGAATAGCAGTCCATCCTGAACTGCACTTGGTTTTTTCGTTGGTCACCAGGTGCCAAGCTTACTAAGCATGCGTAGTATAATGTAGTATATAAGGGATGGGCCACACCCCTGTTGTTTGGACTTAGATTGACCCGGAGAGATTGGGCCGCACCTTGAGGTGTAGGGGCTAGGATTCGTTGGCCGAAGGTTGCTGGAGAAATTGGTTCTCAGCAGTTTTTGGGTCGGAGTCAGCGGAGTCATGAGAGCATTTGGATCTTTTCAGAGACTGAGATCTCATTTAACACTTTAGGAAGAACACAAGAACCCTATTCAAGTCTCACAAAAACAGAAGAAGGCCATTGAAAGGAGAGCCAGGCACCCACAATCATGAGCTCTTCGTAGTCCGTTTCTTTTGAACCTCAAGGGTCAAGCCGCGTGCCTCAGCTGTTCTCTGCCCGTGCCTCGCACCGCAGGAGGAGGATTCCAGTGGAGAGACCGACAAGGCCTTCACATCGGATCAGAGAGAAGTGGAAAGACCGCCTGCCATCCTGTATCCCTTTCCTCAGGGTCCACCGTTGGTTCAGTCATCGGCTGTGTTTTGGGAGAGCTTGAAAGACATTTTCACACATGCGCCAAGAATCCTCAAAGCTGTATAGAGCTGCTAGCCGCTGCTAGCCTCCATGGTCGCATGACATTTGGTGTTGACGTTGTGGGATGAAGAACTGGGAATATTTGCCTACCATGGTTCTAGCTGTTTGGTTTTGGTTTTATCACGCCTGCATATTTCCCTTGTTTCCTTTCTGGGTGTCTTATGCAGAACTCATTATTAGGGTTGAGGTGGTACTGTATGTATGTTGTTGTATCATCGTGATTAGCGTGCATTTGCCAACTTCAAGTGATGCTTGCAATGTGGCCTTTTATATTTGTCTTGGTGATTTTCATGTCAAGTAGAGGCGAACTACCAGGATCTAGCTAGCAGCTGGACCCCACGGTCAGCAGGGTGGACCTGCAGCTCTGCTGAAGGGGTTGGGTTTCCACCATTGAAGGCCAGAAAAGCAAAGGTGCACATGGGAGGGACTTTCTTTGATCTGATGGCTGATGGCTGGACCTCCATGAACGCAGAAATGCTGTCAACGTGCCAAAGAGATGACAATGCGTTTGCCAGTACTGGGAAGCCCTCGAATCTCTTTTCCCGGAGATTCTAGTGCGGAAGGCAGACCTCTCCGAATGTGGCGGATCCATTTTGTTGCCCCTGCTGATCCAGGTGGATGAAGAGGAAAGCGAAGAAGAGGAGACACATATTCCTTGAATAGAATGCGTGACCAAAGCATAGCCTTTCCTTTTAATGTGCCAAAGCCTGTGTTTGATTTGAAGCACTTTACAAAAGCTGCCACCACATACCGACCTGTTTTTCCTGGAAACATTATTATTTTTTTTTCCTAAGCAACACCATCAAATCCGAAGCTCTCCTGGAAAGACGATGAAGTTCGGTCGCCTGTTCGCGCAGCAAAAAGGTGGGAAATAGATGACTTGTTCACATGATTCACATGGTCGGATGCCACCGGATTCGCCGGAGGTCTACTAGGTGTGATGTTTGTTTTATTCAAGTCACGGCCAAAACAACGGCCTTTACTTCCACTGTCCAGGATGCAACGGAGCGACTAAGAGTTGATGATTGGCGTGTAATGGCACCTTGAGTGGAAGTGAAACGTTGAATGACAAATCCCAAATGTTACAAGTATACTTAGATTGTTTGAGGTTGGAGATTCTACATTTCAGGCCGATAACTTGTGGGTTTGCATGAGATTTACTGTAGCAATGGGCTTTAGGGGTTGGTCACATCACCAAGCAACGAAAAACATATGGTTCCAGCTCAAGGTCTTGTGCAATGTTGTCATTGAAGCAGGGAAGCGATTGCACCGTCCCAGACAGGATGTTTCCAAAAGGGTTTTCTCGCTCCTCGTGATACTTGGATCAGGAGGAGGATGATAAGGATGAGAAGAACGACAAGGGCGATGACGATGACAAGGCACCCGTTGCCGTCGACATGAAGGTTAAAACATATATTACATACGCGCAGGCGTAGGTGCTATGGGATGAGTGACAGAGGTTGGCAAGCCATCAGTGTTTATATAAAGCTTTAGAGATGACATGATGACATGAGCTACAACCGAAACCTCCAAACTGATGGTTTTGGGGGGATTAATGATTTATCATTAGTGTACGAAACAGCTTCGATCTGCAAATGCTGCACCGAGCCATTATCACGAAAGGTAGCACCAGCTAGCTGGAGTTGTTCTTGCTTTAGCAAGTGAGGGGCTGCAATCCTCGAGAGCGCCGCATCGCGTGACAACTTCATATTTAGGGGGGGGCCCCCCCGCGGGTTCAACTCCTCCCTGGGACGTCTCTGTATTTCCGCTGGCAGGGGGCTGACTGTTCCGGGCAGCACCCCCTCCATGCTTATATCTTCTTACCTTTCTCGGTCAGACATCCCCTGCCCTGCTAGCTTTCGTCACCAACCCTCGGCCTCAAATATACTTTTGTCGGTTTCACAGTAGCCATCTCTGTTTGTGTGTACAGTCTACCGGTAAGGGGTTGTGCTGGTGCGTGAGATGTGAGTGCGATTGAGTGCGTGTTTTACTATAAGAATTCTTCTACCAGGCGAACTGGCCGTAGCTCACCTGTAACTGGCCGGTGTTCATCCACGTTGAGGGCTGACTGACCATCCGGACCATCCAGCCTGGAGGGACCCCTTTCACCATTTTCACGGGATGTTCAAGGAAAGAACCGTCCTTGGCCTTTATATCTCAGACACTGTCACTCCAATGTGCAGACTATACACTGACATGACCAATGAGACCACCCTACCTGATCGGTCAATATGGCAGACCCATGGGTGTTTGGCCTAGTGATGCATGACCCATCCCATCCGAAATCGGTTCCAGCACAAGTAACCACCTTGCACAAGTTCATTAACTCTAGCCAATCAGCTGGTTGGTCAGGATGATGACGAGGAAGAAAGCCCCACCGAAAAGGAGGACGATCAAGCATCGAGTACGCGCACTCTCTCTCTCTCTCTCGCTGTGTGTGTGTGTCCTTGTTTGGAATGATTCCACGATGCGCGATTTACAGCATACTTTGTAGATGGACACCAGTCACAGACCTTTATACCCAACTTTTTTCTTCAAGACCAACTGATCAATCTTCTTTCCTTCAACTTGAAATTCGTTCGGTTGTTCCGCAGATTCACAATGAGACTGGTCGGCTTGGTGGTTTAGAAGTGGTTCTACTTGCAAAAGGCAAAACTTGGATGGCTGATGCAGCTGATGACGATGCGGTTGTTTCCAGCTGCCTTATCAGACGAGCTGGTGTACTTTTCATACCTTCAGAGTAGCAGAAGCATCAAACAGCTTTAGCCTGTTTTGAGATCAGCACGTTTTGTTGCACTTGGACCAGGAAGAGAAAGACGATGAGGACGAGGAGGAGGAGAAAAAGAAAAGTAAAAAGGAGAAGGACTCAAAGGCGCAAATCGACTCAGTCGCATGGCTGACATGGGACAACTGCCTAGCATCTCAATGATATACCCACACGGAACACTCTGCGGTGATTCAGCCATCACATGGTGTTTTGGGAAGCTGCCAATCTCAACCAACCCTTTGAACCTTGGAACAACCTGGCCAGGCGAAGGAGAAGGAGGTAGAAGCGGCTCCTTGCAACGACCAGTTGTTTGACCGGCCATGCAGTGAAGTAAGGGTTCGATTTCAAGTGATGCGACTAAACCTGTTTGTTCCTGCTAGAATACTGTACTTGTTTTATTTTTGGTCCCCCCAAAAAACACATAGAAACCGAGCCTGTGTATTTTTGCTTGAAGTTTGGACTTTAGCGTTGACAATTCTCTCCTTACAAATGCTTGGTCAGACGCGGTCATGGCATGTCACAGCCAAAACGTTATCAGGTCAAGCAATGAATGTATTAAGTAGGACCATGTACACGACCCAACTATTTGTTTGATCGTCACTAATCATTTGTATTGTCACACCCAGAGAGGTTGTATGCATGTACAGCGAAATGAGCGAACATAGCACAGCTTTGTGAAATGGAAAACATGTTGGTTGTAGATTGGGACTCTGTATTATTGCCGGCCCATGTACAGATTGATCAGACTGCCCATAGGAAGAGGCAGCGACTCTGTGATCCATTTACCCAGATGAATCCTATTGAATGGTCGTTCACTTCCAGTTACTTCAACAGGAGGACTGGGCAAGCAAAGGGCCTAACATCATAAGTAGATTCAACTAGGCATTGAGGTATTGAGATACCTGAACATCTTGCAGATGAAGCCCGTGCTTTTCTACACTCACAAGAAGAAGATCAGGACAGTGATGATGAGGAGGAAGATGATGAAGACGAGGATGAGGATGAGGATGAGGAGGCAGCACGGCAGCGGCAGTGCGAAGAGCAGCGGTCGAAGAAGTTACGACATGTCCTGCCACTTCAGAGCCTTCCTTTGTTCAAGAAAGATGCACGGTCTACGAGAAAGGTAGTTGGGAAGATTTGTTTCCTTAGTTTCCTCCCCTCCATGTTCCACCGTTTTTTGGGTCTGTTTAAGTAGGCTTGTGTCATAATGAGAAATTGTCCCAAGCAGTGGGTATTCATCTACTTGTTCTCTTACCTACCAGGCATCTTCGAGGCTGCTTCTTGCTTTTCAGGCAAAACCACATGAATCCAGAGCTATTGGGAAAGATCCAGGGACATTCCATTTGCAGTCGGACCTCTGGCGCATGCATTGTGGCCAAGCGGCCGCGCTCAAACATCACCTGCTGGTATATCATCGGGAGTTTCCGTAGAACTTGCGGAGCTTTATACACCTGCAGGAAGGGATTACGCTTGCAGATGTTTGCCTATATAGATCTATAGATTGACATTCGAGAAGATTTCCATCATGGCCAACACTTTGTCCGTTGGGACCTAGAATCATAGTGAAGTGTTACTCTCAAGAAACTCAAGCTTTACCAAGCTTTGCCCCGTTTCAGACCGGACCCAACGATTTCACTGAAACGAGGAACAGCAGCACGTGAAGCCAGAGGCTTTAGCATTCCGGACCCAGATAAAGAACAGAAGGGGACGCCCTCAGAGTCACCCCAGAGTGCGTTTTTTCATCATATTTACATACGTGCATATACTATATAACAATTTCTGCTTAGCACATCTGCAATGACTGCAATGGTTATAAATGATCAAACAATTGCAAAAAAGCATCAAACCAAACAAACAAAAAGAAAACACGATTCCTTACCCCAAGGCCACCAAGATTTGTTTTTGTTTGTTTGCATCATTGTTTCTTTTTTTGGTTTGGTGTGTTTGTGCACTGCAATATCAATTGCCATATCATCAACATGATTAATCTATTTTTAAACATCAATCACAGCATCATCAATTCGCAACACCCTCAATTTAATGTCAAGATGTATAGTGGCAAGGTAGTGAAAAACAAGGTGCCGGCGTTGTTAGCGACCCTGTGGTTTTGAGCATTTCCCATCATGTATGAAAAGCAAGAATCCATGGGAAAACGCAGGGTTTTGTGTTTCATTCATGCTTTGATGACGTTCTTTTCGTATGGTTTTTACCCCTACAGGCCCTACGAAAATGCTCCAACGCATTGGAAATACGACGTGCAAGATCGTGCAAGTGCGTCAATTTATACTCCCCGCGTCTTTGACAATGACCAGAACGTTTGCTGAAGAGAGAAATCATTGACCCTCGCAGTGTTTGAAGTCAAAATGAACATTTGGACAAGCTGCGCAGCCGACGCTGTCAGAACCTACGGCACTGCTGGCCCATCTTTTTCCAAAGGCTCTTGACACTGTTCCTTCGGAACTGGTAGCTCCAAGTGTATTGCATCAACAGCGGGTTTATTCCTTTGGAGGTTTTCGCATGGAGAGAGTTCGGGACGTATGACTTGAGATGTCCCCAGACACGATCCAGCATTCCTGTTCTCACTGCTCCTAGTAGTACGGCCAGGAGTGTTCATGAGGCTAGCCTTCTCCCGGTGCTCGATCTCGAGCGAGCAGCGTCAGCCATTGCCATGTGGGCACAACGATTCGAAAAAACGAAAAGAGCAGCCACGACACCACGAGGTACACGTTTAGAATGTAACAAACTGCTAAACACCGTGGTCCACGAAGAGTATAACACATCGTGACAAGTGCCTAGAACCTCGAAAGATAACATCCAACGATCCGGGTCCAGAACCGTGTCCAACACAAACTGGCAAGAGGTCCCGTGTGTCTGGTTGCTAGAGAAATCAAAGAATCCACATAATCAACGTCCACTTCAAACCACCGCTTCAACCGAGGATCCGGACAAGGTACCCTAACCAACCGCAATGACAACACCTCACGAGCTGTGAGGTCCCGCATCCTGAAGCCGAAAAACTCGCAACGCAATTCCACATGGACAAAGTAGTAGTACAGCCAGGAGCCCGTATAGTAGCGGTCTGGTCGTAGTAGCGTCCTTGCTTGTACTAGTACGGTCAGGAGGTCGTAGTAGCGTCCAGGAGCCCCTAGTAGCGTCCTTGCTCCTAGTAGTACGGCCAGGCGCCACAACCAGACGGACTTAGCCCCCCCCCCCCCCCCCCCCCACCCCACGGTCAAATAGTCCTTGGAGACAGTAAAAATGGTCCGGAACGCAGGGGTCACTAATGACGCCGGCAGCGAAAACAAGACCAGCAAATAGACGTGACATAAATGTCAAACAAGTGCACTCTCACAGCGTCCTGCTCTCAAAAAGGAAACAGTCCGCTCCCCAGACTATGTTGCCACTGTGTTGGAGCAGTTGAAAGAAACAGTCTTCCGTAAAATAGAAAACACTGGTTGAACTGTGAATCACGCCCAGAGCGGATTGGACGAGTTCGAAGCCACGGAGCGGACCCGCCGTGGACCGACTCCTCTCGGTCAGGACTCCTCCGAGTCCGAGTCCGAGTCCGAGGCGTGTGGAGCCGGCTGGAGATGGGGGCGTTCTTTTCTTTTTCTTGTTACTAGTAGTAAGGCACCTGTTACTACTAGCGAGGCACCTGTTACTAATAGCTTCTTGTTACTACTAGAAGAGATGGTTCAGGCTTCGAAGGCAGGAAGGCTTTGTCATCACAGGTTTTGTTAGACCGACAGGGCAGAATTGGCCAAGAAGTTCTACCATATGGACAGTTGATGAAAGTTGGTTCATAATATGAGAAGAATGGGAAGGTTCGCAGGAGAAGACTGAGAAGCGAAGAGAGTTTTCGGTGGAAGGAGAGGGGAAGTCTCGTTGTGAACATCCAGCTGCTGCTGTGCTAGTGGCGTTCATCAAAGGACCTGAGAACTACAGCAAACATCTCCAGGAGGGACTGAGAGGTCACCCTTTTAGGTGGAGTGGAGTTGTGAATCTCTGTTCGGCTCACAGTCATCGATCCCGAGAACTGTGCGAGTGAAACATGCCCTGGATTGTCAACCTGAAGATGTTGCAGACTGACAAAATCGACGGTTTTCTCAACACGGGGGATTTCTCAAATCGATGCCGATGTCTCGACCACCCGCGGATCACTTGGCGCGCGGATCACTTGCCGAATCGATCAATCTGGTGATCTTTGCATTTGTGTTGCTTGAAGAAGTGAATGGAAAGTCGTGGAACTATCTTGGGAGCGACTTTTGCCTGTATACTCTATGGGCTTTGTTGCCGACGGCACGTGGGAGGCGAAGGACAAGAAGAAATCGAAGAAGAGTCCGGGGTCCTGAGGGAAGGTGGGTAGGACGCAACTTCTGCATACCCGCTTGTCATCCTGAGGCCATTGTGTGCAAGAATGTTCCATGATAAAAGCCAACATGCAGAACAATTGGTTTATGTACATGTAGATGCTGACAATCATGTGTGTCTCTTGAAGAATGAATCTACAATATGCAGTCCAACATGCAGAGATTTACCCCACAAGAAATATTCAACAAATGTTTCGAGTGAGCCATTAACAGTAGATCTCTCAACTCTAACCCGACTGCTTGAAAAAAACCAGATGCAGCTAGGCCACCATCCACCTCTATGAGTCATGTTTTGTTTACAATTGAATGGTGATGAATAGACGTCTAGACATGGAAAGCGGACGATTTCGCTGTTGGCAGAGGGTTTGAAATAGCTGCCCCGGACGCCTGTGGATCCTTTGCCCTCAATTTGAGCACCGGACCTATGGCGAGTGAAGAATTCTAAAGAGGGTATTTCTCCACGAATCAGGGAATGTTTGGGAATCCATGAACCGAATTGACACGTTTGGTTGATAAGTTTATCTGATTTATCAGCGCTTTCCACTGCCACTTTACATGTCAGCGCCGATCTTAGTTTTGAACAGTTTGGGGACGCTCAAGAAACTGGCTCGCATCTCCTTGGTCAACCTGATCCCCCAATCCAACGACGGGTGTCATATCCAATCCTTTCAACGAGAAGTCTTTCAGGAATCGAATCTCCACCAGCACCATTAGAGGCGAGGAAGAACCAGTCAGTCTCCAGGTGATAAGAAGGATAAGAAGGAGAAGGAGAAGGAATCCAAGAGCAAGAAAGATAAGAAATCCAAAAAAGAAAAGGCCCGGGACCCCAACTTTCAGGCGGTGACGATGTTTGTTGATGAGTCGACTCATGAATGAGAAGAACTGGCGTCACGATGCAAGAAGCTCTTAGAACTGCGTCCCATGGCTGTAGGCAATCTGATCGACCAGACCTTCATTAACCAATGGTAGGGCCTTTCATCGACGGATCTCTGACTGAGCAGAAGTTTGACTTGCCATACTGCCATAACCGATCGTGGAATCCTATACACTAGAAGCCGAGTTCGACGACATTCTCCCTCAGTGCAGCACAAGATAGTGGAAGAAGTTCCTGAGAGTTCCGATACTCATTTATTGTGACTCTCAGGGTCTATGATCATCATAGAAGCCACGATTGATTGGTGGAATGGAAGCCTTTCTGACAGACACTGGGAGCCGCGCTTCGGTGTGCGGGGAACACCTGTCATTGGGGGAAAGCTGGGCATGGCCGGGCTGTGCAGCTCAAGGCGGACCCCCCCCTCTAGGGCTCATGGCCTACCTCCGTTCCGAACCTGAGGATACGTTTGGAGCCCTAGGGCCTATCGGGTTCAGGCTCCATCATCCTTAATTGGTCCCCAAAACCATCGGCCCGAGGGGCGGCCGCAGAACGAAGGACCTTTAACGCCTGGAAGTCGTTGGGTCGACTTGTCAGCATGACCTGTTCGTTGGGTCAGCATGAATGACCAACAGGTGGAGGTCACAAGAACACCCTGCAACACGAACCTCATGCGAAAGAACCAAAAATCCGTGAATACGCCATCAACGCCAGACTGTCCATGTCTCAGGAGAAGAAGTCCAAAGAAAAGAAACGAAAAAAGGAGGAGAGTGACTCCGATGAGGCTTGCTGACTCTCAGTCCTTGCCCGGTGGCGCTCAAAAAGGGAGGTCTTCGGTCGTCAACTCTGTCATCCATCATGGTGCGTCAGATTCGTGCTTTTTCTGGACATTACACATGCTGCATGCTTGGTGTTTATAGGCATCCATTGCCCCAAACAGGAAGGACTTTGCGAACCCCAAACCCTTTGCTTTCAGCGTTCACACCAGATCATTTTTTGCAGTAGATAGCATATGGGCATCTAAGGGAAAAAAAGCACAGCTAGGAAGACTAGGAAGCTGGTTTGTCGTAAATTTGAAGTTGTCCCATGTTTCGACATATTTAGCCACATCATGATCTTATTTCAGCACTGCGCTGCCCCACGGCGCATGGGCGATGCTGAAAATTCGGTCCAGGGCTCGTCGGGCCCATGGTCTCCACTCGCAGGAGAGTGAGAGTGACGACAGCTAGCTGGAGGTCAGCCATCTTTTCGTGCACCAAAAAGAAGATGCGAAAGCACCAACGAAGACCAGACCTACCATGTCAACAACTCGCATTCCCCTGCTTGAACATCTCAACAGAACGTTTTAGCCACCGTTTACTTTCAATGTTGTGGAAGACTTTGTTGCAGCACCGACTTAGCATGATATATGTTCATATATACTCATAATATATATATATATTATACATAGTGTATTTTTTCTATATATACCACCGTTGGCATAGTTGTCCAAAATGATTCGAATGATTGCAGCAACCGCGGACACACTGTGCAGTCCCGATCAAACCAAGCATTTATTTAGTGAGTGTGCTTTGGTCGAATCACAATCAAACTGAAAGCCCTCCTGCAGATCCACATGACCCTATTGAGGAGTAAAGGAATGTAGTTTTGCAGGAGTCCTTTTCCAGGCAATACAATTCGCGACAATTCGTTTTTTTAAGTGTCCTTTTTATGGTTTCAGGGTTGGTCCACTTTGTGGAAGATAGTTTCCATATCATATGATCCACGGGACGAAGAACACAAGGATCAGAACAACCCCAGGGATGTGGAGTTTGTGGGTGTTGTTTTGATTTTGCCATCATTGATGTTCTTTCTTTCATGCCTTCCTGCATGGAGTGTGTTCTGCAGCAGCAACAACAACAACAACGACAGCAGCGACATGCTGACAGAAATTGCGTTCCTTTTGTTTGTCAACTGTTTTCCCCTGGTGTGCTTCTAGCCGGACCTTAATCTGGTTGCTTTTGGTGTGTCCAACATAGCAAGTGTAGGCAACTTTCCATGCTGCCAGCCTAACACTGCCGAAAAAGGTGGATGACTTTCATCGCCTAAGATGTCTCACTTGCCCAGATGCTTTCCTTGCAGATGCCCCATTGCACACCTTGTAACGATCTGAGCATTGATCTTCGAGACTTTGCACCGGGCATTCCGCAAGAGTTTTGCAGCGTGGGCGCTCCCGGTGGCGGACTCCCAAGGCGCGCGGATGCGGCGCCGCGCGGACGTGCGTCTTTCTGTGCGCCGAATACTCCGCGGCGTCTCGCGGCAGGCGGCACTTATGAGGCGCTGCAAACAGCAGAAAACTCGAGAGGAAGTCTTTCATTTCTCAATGTGTACCTGTCTGTACCTGCTTCACAGTGGGCCACACTGACCTTCAGACCGGCGTTGGGCCGTTTTCGTTGCCTCAGGTGAAGACTGGCCCAACAGACTGTTTTCTAAGTTACCTAACATGCATGAAATACTGTACATGGCCTGGGCCAGGTAAGAACAAACCAGAACAAAGTTATGCTTTCCTTAGCACCTTCAGCTTACCCAACCTGAGGCTTGGGGACCAGTTGGAGACCCCTGACCGGGGGCCTGACCCTTCTAGAAGGGGTTGCAGGTGGTAGGTAAGGCTTGACCATCACTACGTGGGTGATCATCGTGATCATGGGCATGTTCTTGACTAGGGAGTTATATACCCACAAAAGAACACGACGACAAAACCCGTTGGTCAGTTGGCTTCCATCGGCCTTCCATTTCAAGGCATCAGTGCCCACATGTGGTGTGTGTATGTGTGTGGTGTGTTTGTGTGTGTGTGACTGTGACTGCTGATCCTTACACAGCCTTTCTTGCTAACCTAATTATTGACCTTCAGAAAGTCGTCATGCCACGGTCCTACATAGCTGATGGTTGAGATTCCCCGTCAGATCTGCTGAAGCAGCTCCATGTCCCGTCCTTGTGGCGAAAGACAGTGAAAATGCCTCACCCAGTCCTAAAAAGCGCCAGCTTCGTAGAGACAGACTTTAACTCTGACTCAGCCAGCACACAAACACACTTAAACAGATGTCAATGTGGTAGTTGTGTGACAGGTCAATGAGCATTGGCAGCATGGGAGTATTTTGGTTGGTGGTTGCCGGTTTGTTTTATCCTGTGACTGGGGAGAATGCGGAGCAGCGCCCACCAGAATCCATCCACTCCAGTGGTTCAACCTGGGAAACGGTGAAACAGATCAACAGAATCAACATACTCCTTCCAACAAACATGGAAGTTCCCCTGTTTGTAGAGAAACATTGTGTTTCCAGGGATTCCAGTGGTCATTCTCCACTTCCATGATGGTCGGAGGGGGGACGTACTTATCAAGTGGTGGTTGTTTGTTCCTCACTTGACACAGACCTAGTGGTGTTGCCAGTGACTGTGTCAGATTTCTGGGGCCTGTTTTGAGACCCGATCGGTTTCTTTCCGTCAGACTCCACCCGGTTCGATGGTGGAAGGAGGTTGAATTGATGGAAGAGATCTAGAATGGTCCCCTCTTGGACGCATATGAAGGCCCTCATGATGGATGCCATGAGCCATCGATTGATGGATTAATTAATCGATGGATGGAAGCCCTCGGTTTGGAGTTTCACATAGTTTCACATGTCAACACATGAGGGCTATGCCCCAAACCAGGGCCTCTTTCGAACCATGGGTGCCCTCGATGCATTGATCCGCAGATGTTTCGGGCTTTTGTTGCGTGCACCCCACACTCCCACACAAGCCTTGCAACATGTTCCTTGCTTGATCGATGTGAATATCCAAAAAGGTCAGATCGATTGAAAGAACAGAGCTTCTCCATGGGAGATCTGCGGAGTCTCACACCAAACAATCGTATGCCACGTGGACAGAGCACGACCGTGAAGCTACGCCACTGGCGTGAAAACCCGACTCGTTCGGAGCCGGGACGTGTGTGTCGTTCGGTTTCAGACGCTTGGATCGGGCGAACAATGCCCCTTATGTGCCCACGCAACAGAAGCAAAAGAAGCAAACCATCCAGTAAGGCACTTGTTTCTAATAGCAAACATTGTTTACTACTAGTAAGGCACTTGTTCCTAGTAGCGTGGCACTTGTTACTACTAGCCACCTGGCTACCTACCTCCACACCACCAGCGATCGAACCGAGTTGTCGAACTTCACGCGAACTCGACCGATGGCCGCAGCGATGGCAGAGACGTCCCGTCCAAGGCTGTGGGCGTCAGCTGGGCCGAAGAGCTCGTCGTTGATGTATCCCAGTTACTCCATGTGTGGAGTATGTACCTACATTGACCAGTCACACCACCCCAATACATAATGGTATATACATGGATAGATAGATATATAGGTAGATAGATAGATAGACAGATTGGTATTTAGATAGAGATATAAACATGTCTCGTTTCCTCGCGAAAAGCAGCCTGTTATCGAGCCGTGCTCGTTAGAAGAAACTGCAGTGCCAGGTTGCGATGGTTTTGTTTCAGGGACGTTTATTCTGACTTTACAGAGCTTTGGGAGATCCGTTTTTGGGGAAGCCACGCGTTCACACGAGTGACATATATCATATATATGATATTATCAAACCTCTTGAGTCTAAGGTTTGGTATCTCATGATCCAACATGATCCAACTATGACTCACTGTTTTTTTAAGAGAGCGGGACGCTGTGGGGGTGCGCTTTTTCCCATGTTTTATAATGTTTTATAATTGTTTTTCAGCTTATTTTCATTAAATTGAATTATTTGTAACCTAATTTTATAACAATATTGCAATATTGTTCTATTAATTAATTCCTAGGTTAAATATCTTTAATTCAATTCTACCTTAGGTCTAGGTCAATTTCACCATAAAGAACAAAACCTTACAAAAGAACAACTTTCACAAGCCTATCAATGCTTACAAAAGAACAACTTTCACAAGCCTATCAATGCAAGAGAGATTGCTTGTTTATATTGTAATTTTCAGCATTTCAGCAGCAGATAGAAGGCTTTGAAGTAGAGAGTGCAAAAAACGCGCATTTCTACAATATGCATACTCTCCCCCCCCCCTCACCCCCCCTTCTGTATTGTTTACATTAAGATAAAATCGAATTTAATCGTAATTATATTATTTATGCTTCCATATCAAAACAAATAATACAAATTGTGCCACTTAACAAGTGTGTGTGTGTGAGAAAGCAGATGTCTTTTGATCACATACTCTTTTGGCTGATTTTGTGTGTAAAACATAGAAAAAAGCGCACCCCCACAGCGTCCCCTTTTCTTTTTTAATGATCCAACTCGATCGACATTTTCTTTGTGAGATCTCTTGAGTCATGGGAGCTTGGAGAAGACTGTGGCCGGGCGCTAGGTAGCGCTTCCCCTGGTCATCTCACCTGTGTGAAACCTCAGCTCTCTGGTCATCTCGGGCTCAAACCGTTGCAACTGTTTGGAATCTGTGTGGATGCCACGGCTGGAGGTGAAGAAACGATAAGAAACGTGAGGCAGTTCTTTACAGAGGACAAGCATGGACAAGGTCCCTTCAATTGGGGGCTCAATGACAGGATAAAATTCTGCTTGAAGCAGATTGGAAGAAGTAGCAATGCGACATCAGCGCTGCGAGTCGGAGCTAGCACACATGTCTTAGGATCCACATCAGCACCACACCAGACTGCAGCTCCTCGGAAGAAATCGCGCTTACTAAACTGTCTCATAGGTGTCTTGACTCCAAAACCCTTGAGACCGTTTCCTCTTCGAGGCTCCGAGCTCAAAAACCCGCCAACCGCCAACCGCCGCCTCTCAAAGACCGCGACCATCGCGACCACATCGCCACACACCGCTTGGACAGGCCGTGGCGGCCGTGGCGATGGCTGCTCCTCGCGGCCGTCTCTTCCGGTCGCCTCTTCCTAGGCGGTTCGTTCGTTCCGCCTCGGTGGAACAGCGTCACACCCGAATCAACGGGTGGGTGAAGTAACGGTGTGAACCACACTTGGGCTTGAATCAATAGGACCTATTGAATAGGTGTGTTGAGCTGTAACAAGAACCGCCACTGAAACAATAGGAGGCTTCCAGAAGTCACCATGGGATTGAGTGGATTGGTCAGAGATTGGGGGTGTACAGGCAGAAAGAATCCCTGAGATAATCATGGAAGTGCAAAACAACGCTGCATGTTTGTAGAGGCAAATAATCATCCTTTTGGGGCAATGCCATCCACGTAACCATGATTCC